GATCTTGCCGGGCTCTGGGAGGGCATCAGGAATGGCAGCCCCAGACACTGGCGGGAACCTGGGTTGTAACATTATGTGACTCATAAGCACACCTGGATAAATTTGTGCTTGGGGCCATTATCTCATTTTTTTTTTTTCATGTTCTCCCTCATTTTTTCCATTATTTCAGTTGAGTTACAGAAAGGATGATCCTGCCTTTGCAGGAGTCCTCCAGCAGCTCTCTTGGCCCCTTCCAAGAAAAAAAATGTTTACATTAATTTATTAACTGTCCTGCAAAAAAAATGGACATGCCTGGGCTTAGCTTTCTTGGGCAAGGGAACACATCCCCTCCAAACAGATCTAACCCAGCTTCCTTTAACTGCTCTGTCTCTAAATTCATCTCCTACACACAGGTATATATATTCCCTCAATGGAAATACCACCTGCCTCGAGGCACCATCCGCTCAGTAAACTCATGTTTGGGATAGGAGCAGAAGAGTGTGTAACACTGCCCTCATGGCATGTGTCAGACATGCACCTTTTAAACCTCTGAGACCCTGTACTTGACCTCTTTCTTTTTCCTCAGGTGCTTCAGGAATATTTATACTTTGGTGTCTTCGCCGAGTGAGGGTAGGCTGACTCCAGTTGATTTTGAAAGACCCAAGAAACACAAGCCCAGGTGATGGATGTCAGCAATAGCCGAGGGCAAAGGCACCGTAGTAAAAAGGGGGGCGATTCCTCTTGTGGTAAATGTGAAAATCCAGAAGCCTGTGCTCTGTAATCTCCTTTTTGCTAAATACCACCACTCCTTGCTTCTTCTCAGAGTTCAAAGCAGCGCTCTCCATGGCTGCAGTATCTCGACCAGCCAGGTCCCTGGCTGATACCACGGGGAGCCTTCAGCTCCACAGACCAAACCCGATTTCCCAAGGATCTAAGACACGTGCCATCATGCTGAACCCCAGCAGCCTATGTCCCCCCACACCCTTGGCACAGCGAAACCACTGAGCAGGGGCCCAGAGAGGCAGCAGAGTCTCCATCCATGGGGACACTCAAAATTTGACCGAACAAGGCTCTGAGCGACCTGACCTACCTTCGAAGTTTTGGAGCAGGGGTTGGGCCAGGTGACCTCCAGAGGGGTCCCCCAGGGGACCCCCTGACCCAAACTGTTCTGCAACTCTGCAGTTACTGTCAATCAACTCTGAAAGAAGGAGACGCGTCCTACGGATCAGAAGTTCCTACCAGTTTTGAGAAAACAGGTGCCTGGATAGCAGAGACAGCTCTCACTAGGTCCTTGTGGAGGAAGAGGATGCTGTGTAGGTTAACCCTTCACTAGAAAGTTTGTAAAGGAGACCAGGGGGTGGGTGGAAGAGAGGGAGGCTGTGTGAGTGCCCTAACCAACAGGAGAACTTCAGCAATATCCCACACCCCAGGAAACACCTCTGAACGCAGCCTGGATCCCAAATAAATTGGTCTTCTCCAGTCCCGCTGCTCCCCAGATGACTTTTCTCCTACCTGACCCCGCAGACAGCCCTTTCAAGGGGAGTAGTCTTTGCCAGAGTCCAGCTCAGCAAACGGCTCCTCATTTGCTGAGCTGGCAGAGCACAGGTAGCAGCCTGGCCACAAGCCGTGTGGGCGCTGCAGGGGGAGAGCCTGGCCCTTACCTCCCTCCCGGCCTCCGCTCTGGGGGATTTCTGCAGGCTCACCTGCTGACCGCATCACAAAATCGCATGATGAGATTAACTTGGTGTTAACGTAGCACTAATGGACGGGGACCTGGGTTCCAGTGTCTCAGAATCGAATTGGGGGTTGCGCTATTAAAGGCTGGATGCTTTTTTATGACTTAAGGTAGTTTTGTAAGCATGGATAAGAAACATAATCAAACATCACATTTCAGAATAAATGTCTGATGTCCCAGCCCGAAGAAATTCTCCTTTGCGTTTACATCACCCTGCGGCTGGCCAACTGCTTTTGGTCTGAGCAAGTTGCAGAGGTGTCACCGCCTCTGCAGGGTGGATATTCTCTTTGATGGCACAGTGTTATGGATACGTACTGTAACTCCCATGCTTGGATACCTCTTGGAAGAGCTTCAAACATATAAGCCCTGGGAAGAGGGGAATTCACCGAGCATGCACACCATTCCCAGAGGTATGTGTGTGTGTCTCCTGCTGTGCAGCTACCGGAGCAGGGTGGGGTTAGTGGTTTTGCAGCTTGGCTGCCCTCCTCACAGGACCGAGGGGAGGGCAATCCGAGTTACCTGGCCATCAGCACGCTGGTGCCAACTCATGTGGAACAACCAGAGGTGAGATGCAACCATGTAACTTGCTTTAGCTACATAAAGGTTAATGTACAGGTTAAACTGGAGGTGCCTGCCTGTCCCCATCAACTCCTCTTCATTTTCCAATGGCTGAAGAGTAGCAAATCCTTCTCCTGACAAGTGACAGTTTGCTTTGCAGACCAATGTTTATGTACCCCTACAAAAACTCAGGCAGCCCTTGGGCAACCAGCTCCTTTCCCCAGTGACCAGCAGAGCTTGCTGAAGGCAGGCTCTCACCCGAAGTCACGCAGGACACATGGAAAAGGCAGCTCAGTCCTCACTCCTCTTTGGCAGCCCTGTTGGAGGCCAGGCTCCGTGTGGGCACCTGAGTGAGCCTCGGGGACTAAGAGAGCCAAAATGTTTTGCCATAAAGGGCAAATGTGTTCCCGCTGTCAGATGGACATGCAGGACTGAGGTCGGGGAGTGCTTGTGCAAGAAGGTCAGACATAAAATGAGGCTTTGCAGGAGGTAAAAGGCCTCTGAGATGCCTCCTCAATGCCATGGTGAGGGGCAGGGAGCTCAAATCCCTGTTATGAACGAGGAAAGCCCACTGCCTCTCACAGGATCTAATGCACGGGACATGGCCACTTGCCCGGAGGCCCACATGCCAACATTTACCACCACCAATCTGAACGGAGGGGAGCGAGTAGGCCATGGCGAAGGCTAACAGCAGCCCTGCTTTCAGAAAAGCAAGTGCCTTGAGTCAGCTGTTTACTTTGGAAGATGCTTTCCAGCCCCCACACAAACCTACCCCTGGGCTTTCTCTAGGCCTTAACGCTAAACCCAGACTGAGCCAGAGCCAAGAGCCTCTCTCTGTCCACAGACTAAATACCCCTCAGAGGAGAAGATAAGTTCCAGCGCTTAGTTTACATTGCATGATGTTTGCAGCCCCGCACAACCGGGCTTTCTCTTCCCCTCAGCCCTGACCCTCACCCTAGGCTGTCTCAGCCCTGGCACTGCAGCCCTACTTTCCAAAAACAAGCCTTCCCAAGAGGAGGGTTCAAGAATCAGCCCTCCATTGAGTTTGGCAGCCCCTTCCCAGCCCCAGCACAACTGCAGCTCTGGGCTTTCTCTTCTGCCTAACAATCTTCCTTCCCCACAATAAAAATACGTCAGGAGATGACTCCCCTCCCAGCCCCAAGCCTCCCCAGACAGCCCCTTCCCCACCACTCTCCCCCTGCAGCTTCCAGCCCCAACCACATCCCTACCCTGAGGTCCAGCAGCAGGCCAGGGAACTTGCCACACAAAGAAAGGCTGGAAGAAAGGGATTCATGAAGTCTAGAAGAGAATTTCCTTGCTAGAAAGATTCAGGACTCGGTTTGACAGGACAACCTACACTAAGACCCAGCTTTCAACAGAGGGTTGGAGCCAATGTGCCCCAGGGGTCCCTTCTAGTACTTCAGTGACCCTTTCGAGGTCCCTCCTTAACAAAAAAGAGCCCATTTATCTGAAAAGGGACTAGGAGATGCTACAGAGCAACTTCCAAACTTTAGCTTGGAAGTTTGGAAAGAACTTCCAAAACCCAAAGCAGACCGTGTTAAGAAAATGTAAAAATAATCCCAAGTGAGCCCCAAAACCAAGAAAAAGAAACCTGCCATGAGCCTTGTAACCCTTCTGTCAAAGGACTCGGGATGCTGGAGACACTGTAACACCCCTCCCCCCACACAGGCATGTACACAACCTTCTTGAGGAAGACCAAACCTCATGGCCTCTGGGCCTAGAGGGCCACTGGAAGGGTGAGTGCACAAGGGACAGAGACCAGAAAGTTTACATACAATGATTTTAACCATTACGAGTTTTTAGCCTCACTTCAAGTACTGCTTGGTGCTTCCTCCTCCTCCCAACCCTAACCAGAGCTCTAACTTTGTCTTACTAAGCCACCGGGCAGTGGGTTGGGAAGACAAAATTGCAAGTTTTACACAGACTTGCAATGCAATTTGGAATTGTGGCATCAGGTTACGAACTGTACTGGGTTTGCACAGCAAGGCTTTGGTAGCAGGGGGGGCTACAGTGGTGGCCCCTGTGCAACTGCAGCCGGAGAGGAGTGGGAATCTGTGAGAGGAACAGCCCTGCAGACCCCAAAGTTAGTGCAGAAGGAGGGGGAGGGACCCCAGTCTGGAGCAGGGGAAGAGTGTGAGGAGTCCTCCCCCCGAGGAGGAAGGAACGGCAGAGATGTGTGATGAACTGACCCCAACCCCCATGCCCTGTCCCCCTGCGCCGCTCGGGGGAGGAGGTAGATGAAATCAAGAGTAAAGTTAAGCCCAGGAGAAGGGAGAGATGGGGGAGAAGGTGTTTTAAGATTTATTTCTCATTACCCTACTCTGATTTGATTGGTAATAAATTAGCTAATTTCCCCAAGTTGAGTCTGGTTTGCCCATGGCAGTAATTGGTGAGTGACCTCTCCCTGTTCTTATCTCAACCCATGAGCCTTTTGTTTTATTTTCTCTCCCCTGTCCAGCTGAGGAGAGGAGCAATAGAGCGGCTTTGGCAGGCACCTGGTGCCCAGACAGGTTCGACCCACCACAAGAACAGAGTAAAATGCTACTGTTAGCTCTCCCTTTTCAACAGACAGCACATCTCCCTGTGATGCAGCCATTTTTGTGCATGTTACCTCTCATCAGCCCAATATACATGGCACTGGACTCAGCTATCTGTCGGGTTGGTATCAGAACAGTAACCACACTCTGTGTCCATGTATTTTACATACCTGAATCAGTCCGTTCAACTTCCAACAGCTTGAAAACCTGCAAGAGGGTAACTGCTCTCAACTTCTGCCCGTGCCAGCGCCAGCCCAAAGCATATAGCACTTCACAGAGTCGATGGTGTGGCTCGTCGTCCACCTCCACCACACAACCCTGCAAGCCACTGCGCAACCCTTCCTTAGATACTCAGCAGCTTCCCTCAGAGACCCAGAGGAATCAGAAGTTGCCACTGTGTGGCAGATATTGAAAGCCCTAGGGAATGTTTATTTGACTTCCAGTTCATTCCACTTGTAAGGAGTTACTGCTTGAAATTCTGCAAAAAGAGATTTTTCCGGACAAGGAAATGGCAAGCAAACTAAATGGAGATCTACCAGGGATGGGGCATGTGCAGCCCCATGGGGATGGACTTTCACACGACCCCTTCCATGAGGGTGACTTGCTCAAAGCCCAACCACAGAATAACAGCAGAAGAGGTGCCCCAACTCCCAACCTCTTTAGGTGAGGCCACACTCAAGTACCCCACCTCTAAGTTCTAGTTCCTCTTTCCACCTTGAGCTGTCTCAAGCACGGTACTTCCCACCCTGTTAGATGGGTCCTCCAGAAATTGCAAGGGCGGCTCACGCTAATTGCTCACTCCGAGAGGTCACATTCACCTATCAAAACCATGCCATCTGGGGCTTCTGAAAGATTAAGAAGGAGAGACAAACAAGAGGATTATTAAAAATTTAACTATATAGCATATTTATTATCAATCCACAGGATAATCTGATTGCTACATGAGCTCATAAAAGCTATTTCACCTTTACAAAATTAAAAAAAAAATGTGCCACAAGGATGTAATAACTGCTGATAACCAAGGACTGAATCTTAAAATTATAAATTTGCTGTAGAAAAGATTAAAAAAAATTATATTCACTTTAGAATTTTACTTTGAATAAAATATTCCCCTGTATAAAAAATAAAAAAGCTTGCTCTGGTTAGAATTAGAGTATTTTTCTTCTTCTTCTTTTAAATCTGGGAATTTGCATAATATCTCTGTAATAGGTTTCTTTTTTTTCCCTATTGTACCACGCGGCATTCAAGCATAGCAGATTAGAAACAAACATGAGAAAAGCAGTCTTAAAACGTATGAAATCCACATGGGAAGTTTTAACTTCCTTTCCTTTCCTTTCCTCTATTCTTTAAAGACACTTTAGCAAGAATAGCCTTGGAAAAGAATACAGGTGGGGAGGGACCTTCAATGTGCCATTAAGTAGAGCAAGGTAATAAAAGGCCTTTTGTAAGTGCTTTCTTAATAAGGTGCAGAAGCAGACTGCAACGTTGCTAGTACTGCACTATGTACAATATTCACAATAGATTTTTCTTTATTTAAAAATATTCCAGCTAGTTCACATTTTCTCTTCCATTCTGAGGCTTTCAGTTCCATCACAGCCTTGACAGCAAGAAGCGCAGCAGCACCACTTCCCTTGTGGTCGGTTGGTCCTCTTTTGAAACACTGGAACCTGTGAGTGGGCCAAAGTTCTTGGGTTTTTTTCCTATGTAGCAACCTTGGAAGTCCGCCTGGGTTCAGGTGTACATACTGATGGCTGGAGTCCTGAGTTAAAAACACTCCGTCACTGGAGTCGGACACAGCAATGTTTTATATTGCCAAGGCTTCACCTTAGATTTGTCTCGTGTGTGCGTCAAAACAAAACAAAGCTAAAAAAACCACACTGTCAAAGGCTTAGCAGCTCTTGACTCTCGACTGGGTGATGTCTGACGTTTTCTTGATGACGCTGGCCCGTGTCTCGCGGTCTGGCCGGCTGCTGCTCGTGGAGGCTGTGGACACTACTTGTGGCAGAGGGATGTCTGGGAAAGGGGGCCAGGAGCTGTTGTAAGGCAGTGGGCAGCTTTCTTCTTTGATGGTGACTTGGAGGTCAGGCTTGTTGGCTACAAAAGTTGCCATGCTGGGAAGCATATGGGAAGTGTTCCTCATTCCCAGATTGCTGAGATACTGTTTGCCTTCAATGTTTTTCTTCTGCCAATGAAGTCGTCCCTAAAAAAGGAGGAAAGACTGTATCAGCGAATGCAACTTTGCAAAGTGCTCTGAGTAACAAGATGAAGACAGAAACATCCACAAATTGCACAGGAGTTACTCCACCTCTAAAAGCCTGAGCCTCTAGCTGCTAGCTTTGAATGTCTTTGCTCTCAGCTACTTGGGTCTAAGCCTTGGTGGCTCTCCAGCACTCAAGAGGCCTTTGCCCACTCTTCTGATGGAAAATAAAAGGCCTTATTCCCAGTATGCCAGAGACAAAAATGGACACAGAGGTTCATACACTCAAGAGTTTCAGATGGAAGCATCTCCTCCATTACCAAGACAGAACATCCTCCGGCCAAGAGGCAGGCACAGAGACCAAACACCTCTCGAACAGCACCATCCAAACTGTCAACACAGGTGAGACTGCCAGGAAAATGACTGTCACTTGATGCTGTGTCCCCCACCACGGGGAGGAGGTTCGCCAAGGAAAGATGAGTATCCAGTCCTTTCCCCATCACACATGCCACAATGGCATGTTCTGTCAAAGGAGGTTTGGGGAGTCATTATCGGCAGTCTACATGGGGGCTCCACCCTAACCAAGGCATGAGAGATTAAACCAAGAGGGTTAGCTGTGCTATTATACAGCTGCACCAACTACAGTTCTCCAAGAAGGAGGATTCAGAGGGCTTTTTGGGGGGGGGCACAGCTGGAGAAAGACTTGCAAGAGGCATTCTGCAAAAATGCAGCTGGAGCACAGGGCATCTAAGTGCCCTCAGTGAGCTTCCCCTGGCCTCTAAGTACTCATGGAGATGGGTAGGTTTGGTCACTTGATGGCAGCCCTAAAAGAAAAGACAAGTGCTGGTTTTGCATAGGTGCAGCTCAGGAAACTTCATGGGGTGGGTATTTTCTCCACGGATTCCTTTCACCCAGCAATACCCAACTGACTGCTCGAGAAAGTTTTTTGCCTCACATACCTCAACCATTCAAGTTGCATTTCTATCAGATGCGTAAACATTTCCTCCAATTGTGTGAGTTCAGGTGCCATTTAAGGAAAACAAAGCGAGCACGATTTCAACCAAGACAAAATACTCACTACCCAGCAATGTCAATGCATCCTATTAACAAACTAGTTGACACTGTTGATGGCTCTCCAGAACATCTTATCATGCAAATTAACCTCATTGTAGTTTGGACAGATGAGGAGGAAAGAACTTGTAGAGATATCCATTCTGCCAGACAATCACCCAACTGTTTGTCTCCCTCGAACCTTCCTGGTTTGTTTTTCTCCCCCAGCTATTATTAAAATGAATACTCCACTGGTAGACAGACTTACAAATGGAGAAGGGGAAAAAATACCTCAAGACATTGTTCTTGAGACGTTGCTCCAAAGTGCTAAAAATCCAGAAAACACTTACCTCTGCATTTTCTTCATCACTTGGAACGCTGTCGGTTGTTTCACTTTCTGTCAAACAAAACAGAAACAAAAATTAAACTCACGCTATTCTACCTACAGTAGCAAAATCCAGCTCAAGAGGCCTGATCCACTTCCAAGTGGTAGCAGAGTCAAGCCAAACAACCAGAAAACAATGGAGAAGCATGGACCCCCTGCCACAGCAACAACAATCCAAGGGCTCGGCAGTACAGCTGCGGTAGATTCACATGGTTATCACAGTTAACACGTCTATGACCTGGACTTTTCCAGCAACAGAGAGGGAAGAAGTAGATTTGTGCTTTCTGGGCAGAGGGAAGAGCCTCCCAGAAGCAGAGGGTGCCCCCTCTCCCTTGCCCTCTTGGCAACTCCAGGCCTCGCAAAGAGCAAAGTTCTGTCCAAATCCTTATTTTTATCTCCCTGCAAAACCAGCAACAACTCCACCCCAGAGGAGATAAGTGTGGGTTTGTTTCATGAACTGTTATCTCAGCCTGCCGCCTCAAGGGCTTGTTGTCACCTCTGGTGCTTTATTACTGTTGTTATACTTCGCTCCCCTTTCGCTTTTGCACCCATGCCCAGCCCCCCCCAGCCTATTTCTCAACCCTTCACCCACCACTCCGTCACCTCCTCTGGCCACACACAGCCTCCCTCACCCTCAATCACTTCAACCTGAGTGCAAATGCAGGGGCACAGCTCCAGCAGGATGGGTGTCCTGCAGCTGCATCTCTCCCTTGCAGAAGAGTCTGAAATCCAGGAATCCTGACTGTTATTTTCAAGCAAGTGTGGCTGAATGCAGGTCTCACAGCATCTGAGAGTCAGACTCCTGGCCCACGGGCTTGTTGAGAGTGCCTCTTTTCAGGACTGGTCTGCCTTCCTGTTTCCTGAGAGGATAACACTAGGCATCTAGAAGCCTCAGGAGAGACCTCATCACTCTCTGTAACTATCTGAAAGGAGGCTTTAGCAAGGTGGGTGTCGGTCTCTTCTCCCAAGTTACAAGTGATAGGACAAGAGGAAATGGCCTCAAGTTGCGCCAGGGGAGGTTTAGATAGGACATTAGGAAAAAATTTTTTCACCAAAAGGGTTGTCAAGCATTGGAACGGGCTGCCCAGGGAAGTGGTTGAGTCCCCATCCCTGGAGGTATTTAAAAGACAGGTAGATGTAGTGCTGAGGGACATGGTTTAGTGGTGGACTTGGCAGTGTTAGGTTAACAGTTGGATTCAATGATCTTAAAGGTCTTTTCCAACCCAAATGAATCTATGATTCTATGACCTTTCAGGCTACCGACAGGACTCTTCCTCTTTCTCCAACCTCCCCACCAGGGCTGAGCAGATAAGGCTCAACCACTCCTTGAGCCAATGTGAACACAGAAATTACAAGGAGGAACAATGTGATGCGTAAGTGTAGCAGGCAAGGGAGCTCTCAAGTCCCAGTTTCCACTCTCCGCTCTGTGTTACACATTTTAGCCCATGCAGACTGCTTTGCACAGCCCCTGCACCCCTGAGACCATAAACCACGATCCTGCCTTTCCAGAGAGCAACCTTGTGCTCTGCATTAGACATGAGTGCCAAGGGTGCACCTTGCCCCACTGCACCCCAGTCTTTCTGAAGCAATGAAGCAGACAGCTCAGCTACTTCAGACTGCTACTTCCAAAACCAGCACCTCCCCTACTCCATAGTCTCTGCTGCAGAGTGCAGTAATCAGAGGAGCAGTCCGAAAGGTTAAATCTAACTGTGAAGCTCTGTGAAGTTAACATTCTGCGGGGCTTCTCATTCACTGGCCCAGGTAAAGACAGATGTGCCAACATGATTAAGTTGGCTAATTAAGCCATACTGGGGGGAGGAGAGTCAGAAATTCATCTGTGCAAAGGAGAAATGGCCCTAGAGATAGAATCAATAGGAGGAATCCACATAGAGACAAGAAACAGATATTCCTTGACATGAAGAAACATGTGGCAACAAAGAGTGATGCAGTTGAAAAGGAATCCATCCTTGGTGTTTATACATAACAAAATGCTGAGCAAGAGAGAGCACTATAGTTAGCAAAGCCAGGGAAGCTAGCCACACAGGCATGGAAAGTTAGAGAGGTTATTTCAACCAGGAGGTTATTTGAATCAGTGTTAAACACAAGAGGAGGTTGACAACAGCCTCAGTACTAAAAAAAATTGATTTCATAGACGTCAGTGGAAATATGAGAAAACTCACAAGGGCCACTCATATCATTTGCCTGAGTAACCTCAGAAAGGAACTAGAGGTGTTTTTGAAATAAAACAGATTTATGTAGGACAGCTGATACCTCAGGCTATTTTTTTGTTGTTGTTGTTTCAGAAGAGCTAAACTAACTGTTCCTGCACAGCTGTTATGGTTATACTCTTTCCTGCCATTCAGTGGTAGCACCTGACAGAACAGGCAGCTCTACCCAGCAAACCCATGAGCACAGGGCCAGGGTTCCCATGGTTCTGCTGTATGGGTTTGTACAAAGCCAGAAATAGTCACCAGAGTGTCCTACAGGTTTCAGGGTTCTAACAAACCACAGACTCCTGCCCACACTCCCGCCTGAAGGGCAAAGGCATGCTTTAAAAAGAAGAGGTTCATAGAAGAAATCAGGCTGGAAGGGACCCCAGGAGGTCTATAGCCCAAACTCTCGCTTAAAGCAGGGCCAGCTATAGGACTGGATCAGGTTGCTTGGGGCCTTATCCAGTCAGGTCTTGAAAACCTCCAAGGATGGAGGCAGCACAACCTTTCTGGGAATCCACTGCCTGATTGTCCTGGTGGTGAAAAAGGTGACATTTTTTCTTATATCCAACTGGACCAGGTTCTCTTGTTTCAGTTTATGCCTGCTGTTTCTCATCCTGCTACCATGCACTGCTGTGAACAGCCTGGCTCTGCCTTCTCAATAACATTCTTGCAGGTAGGGGCAGGCTGCTATGAGGTCCTCAAAGCCATCACTTCTCCATGCTGAACAAGACCCAGTCCCTCAGTATCTCCTCACACAGTGAGTGCTCTAGCACCTGATCATCCTGGCAGCCCTTCCCTGCACTTGCTCCTGTTTGCATCTGTCTTGGACTGGGGGGCTCAAGACTGGCCCAAATACTCCAGAAGTAGTGTAACTAGTGCTTGAGTAGAGGGGTTTAATCACTTCCCTAGATCTACTGGTCATGCTCCGGAAAGCTGGTGGCCTTCTCTGTGGCCAGGGTGCTCTGCTGCCTCACGTTCAGCTCACTGCACACCTGCCTTTCTGCAGAGCCGCTCCCCATTCCACCAGCCCCAGCCTCTATCACTGTAAAAGGCTCTTCCTTCCCAGGCACAGGACTTGGCATCTGCTCTTGCTGAATTTTGTAAGGTTTCTGCTGGCCCATTCCTGCAGTCTCTCCGAGTCTCTCTGGATGGTGGTCCTGCCCTCAAGCATATAACCGGTGTCCCCTATTTGGTGTCACCTGTAAACTTCACAAGTGTGTACTTCATCACCTCTTCTGCTCGTTGATATATTAAATAGGACTTGTGCCTGGACAGACCCTTGCAGTACAATACTTCTTACTGGCCTCTAGCTAAAGTAACCAGGATCATCAAGAGCTGCCTTGAGATGCATCCAAAAGCATGTCAGTGGCATGAAGTCATCTGTGTGTTATCTGGGTTATGGGCTAGTAGGCCTGGTGTACGTTAAGACAGCTGAAGGCCATCAGGGAACTAAGACAACATAAGGGGATAGCAGAAGTACTTCAGTCATGCCTCATTCTCCTTACGCAGGCTTGCTGCACTGACTTTAGGGGAGGTAGCTCATGACTTGCTCATGTCAAGATGGTTCTCTTGTCACCAGACCACCCCTCTCTGTCATCCCTGCCCAAGCAACCACCATGAATTCCAGACCAAGACAGTGACTTCTGTTTGCATTCCAAGAATCGTAGCTGAGGTTAAAAGCAAGCATCATTGTTGTGTTCACATAGATGGGAAAAGTTTTGCAAGAAACTTGTGGAAAGAGGACAAATGTTTCAAAGGCCCTGCCTCCCAGCTGCTAATAAGTTAAAGCACCCTCATCCCCCTGCCTTAAGCTTTGCAAAGCCCTTCTAAATGCTTGGGCCATTACAGACTGAACACACTGGGAAGCATAATCGTTTATCAACATGTGTGACACAAACATTGGAGGCTATTCAAAAGAACATCACACTATTCGCCTGGACCCAAGATAAAAATTACTAAATACATATTTTATAAAAATGTGCCTGGAAGTAATTTCAGCCTAATGAGTAAAAGTCAAAACCATGTGTAAAATAATAAATTACATGGGGAACAATTAATACTTAAATTTGCCTAAAAAGATGACATTTGTGTTTCTATCCAGCCTCCTGAGGCTTGCAAGTTAGCAACATGTTAAAAAAGGAAGGACAGGTTGGATCTGAAACTTTTTCTACTTTCAAATGTGGCTTTGCCCTGCTTCCTACGGAAATAAGGCTTATATGATTGCACAGACTCTACACAGTGTGGCCACATGTGCATTTGGGTCTGTTCTCCCTCAACAACTTCTGAACATGCTGTCAGACTTGGATAAGGGATAAATGAGTGCCAAAGACTCTTAACTTCCTACCAGTTTTATGAAAATAAGGGGCCAGACAAAAAAAAGAAACCCTTAGCACCCTGACTCGGGGAAAAGCTTGTTAGCTCACCCTTTTTTAGATATCAGAGAATCCAGATGGGAGGCAGACGTTGGAAGCCAGACATCCACAGCTCTGCTGCTTGCAGGACTGCTTGTTATCAGTCGCTACATGGCTTTTCTAGTCTGCAGACTATTTGTAACAAGACAGATCCACTCCCCCAGAGCCCTCAGCTCCACGTCTGCATTATATACCATTAGTGCAGCTCTTAGCACTCTGTGCCCAGTGCCAGGCACTGAGGAAACACAGAGCAGACAAGACCTTTAATCTTTAGTAAGTCAGGGGGCAAGGGGGACACACTGTATTTGCAGCACATCATTTGTACCACTGAAAATGCCCCTCTAATAAAAGATGAAAAGCCCTCTCTGCATTACATCTAAAGAGGTTCTTTTTCCATTAGTCACAGGCTAAAATCTGCAGCTTACATGTCCAACCTCAGATCTGCCGAGTTGTTTTCCAAGGTGAAACGAGTGGAGGACTGCGATCTTCCAGTTTCATTAAAAATGCAGAAGGCAGATGAATAGACATTTCTGGACCTTTGCCAGCCACCCTGGAAGAGCCCCCTTTCCCCCAGTGTCTTCCAAAAAAAGTGTGTAAAGAAATGCCAGGATGCTTACCTGCACAGGACGAGACAGGGGAGATCTGTAGGGGGTACAGCTGGCTCATGCTGAGGGGCTGTTCATCGCTTTCTGTTGTCACCTCTACTACTTGGCAAACATCAGGAGGATTAGCAACTATCACCTGCTCCTCACTGCTGCCATCAAGGTGCGGCTGTCCTACAACTTGGGGTTAGAAATAAAAAATTGATTACTCCTAAGACCTTGACCCCACTGGATCTCTAACAGCCTGTCCTTGGAGCCTGCTTGGTATTTCAGAGTCTTCAATACTGTCTCAGCACCTTCTTCCATGCCCACCACCTGCTTTCAATGGGACTTCTAAAGGAAACCTGTGTGATTTATTTAGTTTCCATCGCCTTCTGAGACACCTTTTTTCCCCATTTGTGACAACTGAAAATGGCTAACTCTCCCCTGGCTCTCACACATAACATCCGTGAGCCCTCCTTGACATATCAGCCGTCCAGAGGCTTTCCCAGGGAAGATCATAGTCATGCTCCTCCTCCACCCAAAAACATGGTCACACCAGGACATACAGACCACAGCACTCTACTAATCTGGGAAAGCATCCTCACCCAGAAAACTGCCAACATCCCATGCCCTCTGGATGCTCTCATGTAAATTATGCACCAGGAGACCAGAACTGGCATGCAAAACTCGCCACATGGTCATCTCATTTATACATGACATGAAAATTTTCTCTTCCAATTAAGTGCCTATTCTCACTGATGCTTGCAATGCTAGTTGTACCTGTAGTCTGTAATCCCCGTGGTGTGTGACTGAAAGCTACACTCTAGTTATTAACACAGAGTTTTCGTATTCCCCCAGGCCCATGATATTTAATACTAAAGGAACATTATTTATTTCTACAACGTGAAGGCACCATGGATGCTTAGCAAGTGTCCTAAAATGCTTTGCAGACATTAATTGTGCTGCACAACAACACCCTTTTGAAGCACAGGAATAAACCGAGGTACCAAGAAGTTACCGAGCAAAGCAAAACTGTGGTGAAAGCCAGAATCTCTCTGGAGCTACTTGAGAGAATTCCCTCTGTCTTGTACAATGCCCCTATCAATCCCAGCAATATGAACACATGACAACTGCATTAATCCAGCATGGAGCTGAAAGCCACTAGCTAGATTTGAAGAGCACATGAGGATGGAGCTGTCTCAGAGGATGGCTAACCTGAATCCACAGTTGTCCAAGGGAAAGGGAAGGACTACAGATATTCTTTCACTGGAACATAAAGCTTCAAAAGGAACAATCTTCACGCAGACAAATTCTGTACAAACATGGTGCTGTGTTGTTAGAAATTCAGACAGTACATTCTTTCTAGACCCATGATGGGAAAAAAAATGTAGGCAATGAAACACAGCAGATCTTGAAATTCTTCTGTTAAGTGACCTAAGTACTCTAATTATGAATTTTAAAAGAGGCAAAAGATAGCATCTATTCCTAGATGAACTAAGATAAATATACATGAATGCACATGTATATACATACAATCTATTCCTGCCTTCTGTCTTTAGACAAGGCTAGAACATGATTTTTTGAAAAAGAAAAGTGACAGGCTTTTTTCCCAGAGAAAAGCTGAATCTCATTTTGCTTTGTGAAGTGCCAGCTAACCACTGGGAAGTCCCCCAATGCTGGATTTGTATTTTATAAGACAATTGCAGCATAAAGAAAATTGCATAAATAGTGGATAGTGGTTTCTTTTAGAAGTTGAATCACTACAATTGCTACGATTTTGTTCCAGATATTTCATTTCCACTGTATTTCCACCTTTCCTGGTTCTGAAACAACCTGCTTTTTACTGAGCGGGGTGTGGAGGTCAAGAGCACACACACACAGAGTTAATTTTTATCTGGGAGAAACCAATATTGTGCAACCCCATTCAGGGTATGAGCAGGCCATCTGCATTGTCTTTCTCCTCAGTACCTGATGAATTCTTACCCACCCCAACAGATAACTTGCACAGCAAAAATGACTGCTCACTTGGGCAATATGCCACCACTTTCCCACGAGCTGAACATGTATCAGAAACACTGCAGGTGCTGTTTGTCTTTTCATCCCCTCCAGCTGACTTCCCTTCTTTCTGGAGAACAGATCCATTTTACCCTTTTCCCTGTTTACATTAAAATCCTGCTTGCAGTCCTAAATCAGGACTTCTCTCTCCAGTCTGGATAAGCAGCACACAAGCCATTAATTAAACAACACTTGATGACAGTTACCCACCTGAGCCTTGCTGTCCCACCCCTGAAAATGGATTCTGTAAGTCCAGAGAAAAATGAAAGCCCTTAAGGTGCAAATTCAGTTCTGTTCCTCTGAACAGACTTCCTCCATGACAGACTTTTGACCATTTTCAGATGTTGATGTTGCCACTGTGGGCTCTGTCCTATAAATTACTGAGATCTTCTAAGGTGCAACATGCATTCCTCTCATTGTAACATCAAACAGGATGTCAGGATACACTGTACTGTAGAAAACTGAGATGTTTGCAGCAAAATGACACACACTGATGTTAGTAGATTTTGGGGAACACCAAGTATGTTCCAAAGACTGCTGTCAACTGATTTCTGTTTGACTGTAAGACTGTAAACTAAAGCAAAAGCGTGTGACGCTTCTTCCTTGGGACTGCATATTGGCCTTGGCATGTTTCAGATTTGTTTATGAGTCAGTCAGTAAACAGGAAGCACTAGCAGTACTACAGTGCTATTCCTTCAAGTCATAAAAACCTCTGTAACAGTAGGAGCAACAATCATGTTCTAACAATCTTACAAAGCAACAGCTGATTAAATGAACTGCCATAAAGAGAGGAAAACTACTCACAAACTCCTCAGCCACAGAAGTTCTCGAGGGGAATGACTATGCAAAGCCCTGCGACCTAAGACATGGGCATCAAAAATAGTCACTGCACAGAATTTCTGCGATCTCTCCAAACAGAAGACTAAGATATTTTTTCACACACTTTTCCAACATATAAAAGTGGAATTCTAGAGAAAATGGTATATGGGTCACATTTCTGGGAGCCCTCACTGCAGTGACAACCTCAGCCAAAAAAGACTGTCAAAAACCAGCCCAGTTATTCAACTGAGAACCAAGTATTCACATGCTGAGATGACAGCTAATTCCTATTGTACCATTTTCTAAATGCAGTCTTTGCTGATCCTTGTTGTTAGCTCAGTGATGCTACATGTCCAAATGAAATGGTACCCCACACAAACCTCTGCTTTGAGCAATGGGAAACTGCCATCCAACTGCAGTTTTATTCCCACGTGACACTGGCTAGTCTCCTCATAGCTGAGGACTACCCCGTGGAGTTAAGTTCATGTCAGGAAAAGCCACCTGAGCACGTATTAAGTGCTTTGTTCTCAGGAACCACCACTCTGCCACAGTGCTGCTTGCTGATCTGCAACCAGAAACTCGTGTGGCTTGGGCTACTGAAAAATGTGTTGACCCGACTGCAACCATGGTGTTTTCTAAAGTGCAAAATGCTGATGGAAAGCCCAGTTTGGCAGAGTCAAAAGGTTTTTGAAGTCACCTGTATGCTTAGCATGTAAGAAAAGCATAGGAGTACTTACCTACAAAGTTCACTGTACTGTCAACTTCGTTTTTTATACTGGAGGACAGGAAATAGTCAGAAGTGACATCGTTTAGCCCATTAATCCCAAAAGATGATTCAACTGGCTCTTGCTAGAATGAAAACAGTACAGTTGGGTCAGGTTGATTTATTTTAGGAACCTGGACTCAATTCATCTCTTTGTTTTGAGACAGTAATAACTCATATTGCTTCTGTCCCTGCTCTTCGCTAGACATGGTCTTAGAACGAATATTTTGGTTCTCTTGAGAAGAAGCCAGAGTCTACTCTATTTCCAAATCTTCTGCACTGAAACAAAAGCTATTTTTAATTTTCAGATTTAGAGAGAGCCTTCAGAGAGCAAGAAATTAACGTGCTATTTACTACAGGAGATTAACATTTGGAACAAACAAGGAAGAAACATTGCTTTATAATGGTACTCTATTTAATATTCATCCTCATTCCTTTCCAAACATGATGTATCTCTTAGCACTCTCTGAAAGGAAGCCTTAGCTTCTGTACAGCAATTACTAAATTCTAGCTTTAATTTTTCTCTGCAGCAAGCCTGAAAGCAAACCAAACTGTTTACACTAAATACAGCCTTTTAGATCACATCATAAACATTACCACAGGGCAATAGCGTTGGGAAAACACCACCTGTTCTACATAGACTGAGTTTTCCACAAGATGCATCTCTGTAGGTCTGGTACATTTGAGTGGGAACCGAAAAAAACTCCCTTCAGAATCAACACCAAAAAGTTTAATTCCATAAACTCAGGATTTCTTTAAAAAGCTATAAACACGTTTAAAGGACTACCTGCAGGTCCATCCTCCTCCCTGGTATTGGCTCCCTTACCGGGTTATTGGTTACAAAGTCTCAAGTCTCTTGCTCTTACTCTGGACTGGCAATGCCAGCCCTGCAAGGGAAGTTCTGCCTTGGTGCTGACCCAGAGACAGCCGCAGAGAGGTGCAGAGCTGCCAGTTGGATCTGATGCCAATGCCATGCCCATTTTCACTGCTCTTAAAGCATTTCAGTGAGGGCAGGGCAAAGGTGAGCCTCAAGACCTGTGGTGCCAGCCCCTCATAGTACTAACTGTATGAACTGTTATCACGGGGACAAAAAACAGGGGACAATGTGACAGGTCTTTCTTGGATGCCACATGCTGTGATTATGACCTGCTCAAGAAGAGCTGTCACTTCAACACAAGTCTGCACCTTCCCAGGCATTAAGCAAGGCAAACACACACGCTGTCCCAAAGCCCTCCTGCACATCAGAAGAATGCAAAGTTAGTGCTAATGGCAACTAGTCTTTGATGAGCTGCACTGGTTGTGGGTTGTGTTGGCCCACAGGTCAAAGAATTGGAGAGCCAGAAAAGATAAAATTAGCTGCTATTGATCCACCAAGGATCGCTGACTGCAGAGACAGGTTAGGGCTGCACACTGGAGCCTTGAGCCTCTGGTGTTGTGCAACGCCCCAGCAAACACAGCAGCCCCCACAGGAATGCTGTGCATGCAGCACGTCTACTGAGGCTTGGTTACAGGGAAATGTATTTAGTAGCCCCCTTCAAGCTGCAGAAACAAATATGCATCCTGGTATTCAGGTGATGGTGCCAGACTGACAAGGCGGACTTGGACACTGGCACAGTTGGTGTTAAATCATCTATATTTCCAGTGTCCAGATGCCTGCTGGAAGCCTAAGCTAAATGCATGGGGAAAGGCATCACTTAGATTTTAAAAAATGTCTGAACCAGGAGCTGCATGCATAGTCAAAAGGATACATCTAGGATAAGGTAGAAATTAAGCCTCAGGCAGGCAGTTCAGCCCTTAGTTTTGTTTCAAAGGAAAGAGCCTACAGGATCCAGCAGCAGCAACAAGGGGGGAGCTCGGTGCGAGCCTCTTGCTACACTGAAGTCCCTTCACAGATCCACACTCGGGTCCTCAGCTTCCCCCTCTGCTGCTATTACCCCATTGCAGTTACCAGGCAGATCATGGAGAAGCCTCCCACTCATCTGCACTAAAGAGAGGTTTTCAGGGTAAGTGCAAGGCATTCAACGCAAAACACACAACTCGGATCTCAGGAATTCACATCACCGAGCAAATCAATTATAAGCAGCTTTCAATGCTCAGAAATGTGCATTTGCATTAATTCATCCACCACCCTTCTCCACTATTATAGCCTTCAACATTCAATAGTCATTCTAACGGTAGCTGAGCATGGAAGGAGCATCTATTTTAAAATCCAGGCTTATCTGGAGGCCAGTTTGTGTATGCAGTTGTCAGAATAAGGGGAAACAGACAGGAATACTACCTGGCCCCAGCTCAAAGCCTACAAGAGCTAAGTGGCCATACCATAGTTGGTGGCTGGTAAGCCATACGCTCATAGTAGGTATCACTGGTAGGTGTATGTGCTGGAGGCACGGCCAGCTCAGCTCACTGCTTCTGCATCACCTGGCCTAATGCTTCTGTGTGGCTCAGGGCAAGCGAGATGGAGAAAAGCGCTCCCAAAAGCTGTGAGCATCACCCCACTGGCACCTACTCCCAGGCCTAACGCCGCATGTACTAATCTCCCAGGCATCACTGGGATGCCCTCAGCAATGACTATTTGTGAGGTTAATCTTAATGGAGAGGATGAGATTGTTCAAGTGCCTCTACAGCTTTTCAGGCATTCAATAGTTCGACTAGAAGAAAGATTATGAAGGAGGGGAATGGCAAAGTGCTGCTGCTGCCAGCTTTGGCAGGCATCACACACTGCTCTGCTCTTACCAAAGGAGTTTACTGGCTCCCTCTGAACACAGGCTGCCATCAAAGTCACATTATAACAAGCACATGTGGCTGTGTGATCTGGATAGGATGGTTAAAAAGTGGTTCCTTTAACAAAATTTAAAAATCACAGTATTTTGACATGTAACTCCACAAGTCACGACCACTGGGACAGTGTCTGCTTTCCAAATCCAATTTCAATGGAGGTGTTTTCCCCAGGCCTCTGGGTTCACCCGGCCCAGAGCATCTCCTGGCCAGTGGGTGCAGAACCTGCACCCAGGCATGGGTGGCTCAGCCCTTCACAAGCAATAAGGGTACCGAGCTGCCCTTCTGCTGCAGACACGGCTGCTATGTGCAATCCAAGAACACCCAACTTTACTGAAGGCTGAAAGTCTCAAACTTTCAGTGTGCAGTACTGACCACCTCGTAGAGGTGCTTGGCAGAAGTGCGAAAGCTAGGAAACACCATCCTTTGTAGGGA